ACAGGTAATGATTGACAGACACAACATGAAACAAAGGGCCGCAGCTTGAAATCGAACCTGGGCTGATGGGTAAGCCCTCAGCCTACATGGGCCCGCTCTCTACCAGGTGATCTACTATGAGCCCCAAGCCTCTTTTTGCTCATTGTTTTGGTTTTACGGCTCATTTACTCTTTGCTTCAGTCCACTCTCAACAACCTTTTTTTAAGCAAACAGGCTCTGACAAACCCAGTGCACACTACCTGCCCAGCACCAAACAGTGGACAGACACTGTTAGAGACTAGCTGGTGAAGACAGTGAAACATCTAGCAGCTAAAGAGTCAGACGTCTTTCTCAGGAGACACACACAGAAACCACAGCCAAAAGGAAAGTAATTATTTAATTTAAATTCATCAAACTCACAATAAATCCTTAAGTTGCTCTGTTTCTGCTGGATGTGTTAGCAGGAAAATGTTTGCCAACACATTAGCTGTTACGATGTCTACAGGCCATAATACATCAGAGCTGTCACTGTTTAATAGTTCATCTGTCCCGTGGTGTCCACAAATAGCTTTAAAATTCAGCAGCTTTAAATTCTCTTCCAAACTGAATGAATAATTAGATCATTTATCATTGCCTTCAGAAAATGTCTCATCTGACACCTTTTCTGCAAGATGGCAGCTTATCAGTGTTTTCCAAAATCTTAACAAACGACTGCCTCAGAAATTATTCATATGACCGTGTTGTGACCTGCCATGGTTATGTGTGTTAGTCTAAGGCACAAAAACGATGTGGTTAAAGGTCGGGAAGGTTAGTGTACTTGGTACTTGGTTAGGATTGGGAACAATCAGGACCATGGTTGAAAGTAGGAAACAGCAATCTGCCAAACGTCACATTCTTTGTTGTCCCATTCGTTTTGCCAAGATCTCCTAAGTTTTGTAGCGCTAATAACAAATTTTACTATGAAATAATAAAAATATAGCTCCAATGAAGTGGTGGAACAAGCAGATAAAGAATATGCATGTGATGTTGTATGGAAAACTGTAAAGTATGCTATTTAGGGAAGATATGATGATTAAATTCAAGATTTAAACAAATGCAACTTTTAGCAGTTTATCTGCATATTAGATTCAGCCAGTACATACATGTTTTATGTCTTAAAATTGCCAATCATTCACCCTATATTGCCTCTAATGCAAACACATGAGGTCAGTGAAGGCATGGAGGACAACAGAGTGATGATTCTGCACTGATAACAATGGTGGACAGCAAAGAACTCATCCTGGTTCTGTAGTGAACGTGGGTGAGGAGTTTCGGCTCATGAGAGCCATCTAGCAGAAGCCTCAGTGACAAACTCTTGCTTACTAAATCCAAAACACACACACACACACGTGCATAAGCATGCATATCAACACATGCACGCTGAAGGTGAGGTGGCATGGATATTTGTCCCATTCAAAGCAGAGAGTGGGCTGGATTTATTCAAAACAACGGCACAAACATGAGGTAAATGGGAACGAAGGGAGTGGGTGGGCAGATGGCTTCAGTGGTGACAGAAAATAATATGAGATTAGACCGAAGCAATTTTGGTTTGGGAAGAGATAGAGAAAGGAAGGGAGAGAAAACAGGAATGGTTCTAGAGAGAGAGAGAGAGTGAGAGAGAGGTGTGAAGACAAATGTCCCTCTCCTGACATAGCTGGCACTGCCCGCTGGATTTTCGATGATGCCACACCAGCCTCATGCAGCTGCAGCCGCCCGCTCTGTTTTCAGCTAATAGCCACGAGCAGCACTGTTAGCAAGACACAGCAGCACCCTCCCTCCCTCTCTCCCTCCCTCCCTTTCTCCTTCAGATTCAAGCCATGCCTGATGGAAAGCCTGACACACAAAGCTCCAAGAAAGAATAGTGTTACTCATTTTATTGGGGAGGCTCGGCTAATCTCGCTAAGAGGAGACGCTTAATAGAAAACAAAATGGAGAGGAAGATTGTTGAGGGCCGGAGAGACGGCAGCTGTGAGAGATTATGAGTAGGTGGGTCTGAACACCATGAGTCACAAAGGTCTAAGCAGGCTAAAAGAGAGGTTGAG